AGAAGTTCCTGTAAAATAGTCTAATAGGGGGTATAGGTGTTGTGTTAGTTGTCTCTTCAGAGGTTGCATGGCGTACGTTATGCAATATATATATATTGCATAGCGTACGCCATGCAACCTCTGAAGAGACAACTAACACAACACCTATACCCCCTATTAGACTATATATATATATATATATATATATATATATATATATATATATATATATATATATATATATATATATATATATATATATATATATATATATGTCGTACCTAGTAGCCAGAACGCACTTATCAGCCTACTATTCAAGGCCCGATTTGCCTAATAAGCCAAGTTTTCATGAATTAATTGTTTTTCGACTACCTAACCTACCTAACCTAACCTAACCTAACTTTTTTGGCTACCTAACCTAACCTAACCTATAAAGATAGGTTAGGTTAGGTTAGGTAGGGTTGGTTAGGTTCGGTCATATATCTACGTTAATTTTAACTCCAATAAAAAATAAATGACCTCATACATAATGAATTGGGTAGATTCATCATTTCATAAGAAAAAAATTTGAGAAAATATAATAATTCCGGAAAACTTGGCTTATTAGGCAAATCGGGCCTTGAATAGTAGGCTGAGAAGTGCGTTCTGGCTACTAGGTACGACATATATATATATATATATATATATATATATATATATATATATATATATAACTTGCATATTGTCCTGGGGACCATTCAGGCTTGTTCGCATATATATATATATATATATATATATATATATATATATATATATATATATATATATATATATATATATATATATATATATATATATATATATATATATATATATATATATATATATATATATATATATATATATATATATAATATAATATATACAGATGTTGAGTCACAATAACGTGGCTGAAAAAGGTCGACCAAACCAAACACTACAAATTGAAGTGACGACGACCATCATAAAGTCGTGAATCTCCGTGTAGGCACTTAAGAAGGTATTCAAGCAGTCACTGAAGACGAGGCTTCAAGAAAACTGGAAGACATCTATTCAATTAAAATGAAACAACGCCAGAATCATATTTTGGATCCAGGAGGGGCCTCGTAGCCTGGTGGATAGCGCGCAGGACTCGTAATTCTGTGGCGCGGGTTCGATTCCCGCACGAGGCAGAAAGAAATGGGCAAAGTTTCTTTCACCCTGAATGCCCCTGTTACCTAGCAGTAAATAGGTACCTGGGTGTTAGTCAGCTGTCACGGGCTGCTTCCTGAGGGTGGAGGCCTGGTCAAGGACCGGGCCGCGGGGACACTAAAGCCCCGAAATCAACTCAAGATAATCATGTAGTCGATTGTCATTATCACAATCGACTACATAATGGTCCAGGACGGACCGAAACGTCGTCGTCTCTTCAATTTCTTGTGTGTGTGGTTCGGTCAAAAGCAAACCCACATTTCACACTTGATAGGAGTCGCCGGGATGACCCTCATCAACCCTTTGGCTCTCGCAGTTCAGTCACTAATCACCTAGTAAAGTGTGAGGGCCCCCCCCCCCCAAGCATCTGGGTCCACCCATGAACACGCACACATTCTTGTCCATGTAACTTACCAGCCGTAACATCTCAACAAATACAAAATGAATCGCCATGAATGAAAAACAATTTTCATCCGCTTAGGTTCCCATCCAGTTACTATCCATACTCGTCAGTATTTAACCCGGTGAAGCATACATGAGAGGGCCGGAATAATTACGTTAGATTGAGGAGTAAGATTTAGAGAATAGTTAAGAAGATAACGTGAAGATTCAAACTGCTCACTAGTCACACACAATGACAGTAAATATCAAAGGAATACGTGATGAAAATAAGGATGTGGGCGCAGAATGGTAAAGTTGGCGAGAATACACACAGATACCTCCAAGAAATCGTCATATTAGAGAAAGGAAAGTTCCCTGAACTGAGACGGAATATGTCGAACGAAGCAAAACTGGAATTCTTTGAGATTAACAGAGACAACATTAATATGGACTTGTTGGAGTTGGACTCAAGACATCACCGCCTATACTAATAAAGTCGTGAATCTCCGTGTAGGCACTTAAGAAGGTATTCAAGCAGTCACTGAAGACGAGGCTACAAGAAAACTGGAAGACATCTATTCAATTAAAATGAAACAACGCCAGAATCATAATTTGGATCCAGGAACAACAGCAACAACAACTGTTTCATACAATTGATAGAATTACATAAGATAGTAATCAGTCATGTTTGAAGAAAATATACATATTGTATTTGGGCTCAGTTCCATTTCTGATTTATGTGAATGATCTCCAAGAGAAAAATTGACTCCTGCCATTCAGTGTTTGCAGATGTTGCAAGAAATAAGACAAGACTACACAAGGATGAAGAAGGCGGTAAAGAAAAGGGTGCTGCCTCACTTGAAGAGCAGTGTAATGAGTCACTGCTAAAGTTTCTTGCCAGCAAAGGAAAAGTTATAAAAGATGAATGTGAAGACAGGACAATCATGACATCAAATGGAAGAGACTCCGTGTTAATTGGGAGGGAGATAGTATTGACCTCACAACGAATGTCTTCCGAGGCTAACATCAGCTGTATATGTACGTTTTAACAAGATAACAATTACTGACTTTAAATAAACAAGGATTCATTCACGATTCTTTTTACAATGAATTTCGACCTAACTCCTGGTCGTAATAATACATTGCATTGCAGGGAATAAGTAAGGATGACAAAAGAGATGTATAGAGAGAGAAGGAGATAGAGAGACAGAGAGACAGAGAGACAGAGAGAGTCGCGGAAGGGAAAGAGACAGAGAGCGAACGATTTGAGATTAATGGAGAGAGATGAGGAGGATAAAGAGAAAACCATTACATAGGAAAAACTAAATAGATCCAAGAAGAGAGGTTATATTTCGAAATCATCTACTAATCTCTCTCTCTACAGACGAAATCAAGAGGAAAAAAGCCGAAGGCTCTCTACCTACCCTCTCCCCAGCTCACACTTCATGGACCAACGGAAATAATTCACGTAACACAACAGGCCTATCGAAAATAGCCACAAAAATAAATAAATCAGATACAAAAAATTATTCCCCAAAGTCTGCGACTAGTATTATTATTGTGGCCAAAGCTGCAGTCTTGTAACTGAGATAAATTTTATTGTATTTGAAGTTGAAATTGTTAATATTTTGTACTTTAACCAATCAATTAAGCATTTTATGATTTTTTTAACTAATTAGGCTTTTACTCAAACAGTAAACTGAAATAAATTATGTTTTTCTGAAACTCTAACTAATGAATCCTGCATGTTTTGTAATTGTAATTGATTAATTATTTATTTTCTGTAATAGTAACTAATTAATTATACATTTTCTGTAATAGAAGCTAATTTTGTGTTTTTTCCGAATTTATATGAAATTAGTTATGGATTTATTTTCCATAAAAAAAAATAATTTATACATATAAAAGTGCAAAAAAAAAAAAATAAAGAAATGTAACATTTTCTTTAAAATTGTAAAAGTAATTACGAAATGTCGCGGATATTTCTTACTGCTGTTAAGGCATGCTCTTGACAGCTGAAGGAACCCAATTTAGTGACAGTTATTAGTTTAAAAACGTCAAAATATAGTGCAGGGAGAAACGCCAAATGAAAGAGCAGGAAATGTCGGCGAATGAAGGCAATTGGGGTAAGATATGGCACTCTCAGTAGAGTCGTACGTGCCTTTTCAAGATAAAAGATAAGGTCAAAACTCTCTCGTTTGCGGTCTGCAAAGGAACACATCTCAAATGTCAAGATCGAACATTGGGAAAACATTTTTTGGTTATTGAACGTATCTTGAGACGTTTGGACATACGATTTGTGGGTGAGTGGAATGGCCTCTTAAGATAATAAGAAAGATTGGATAAATAAAAGGTCAGTGGAACTCAAAAGGAGTTAAAACTAATCTACATATGAAAAGGTATTCGAACCTACAATCATGTGAGACCAGTTTTCACCTCTAGGTATTTTCGCGAGTTTTCGGCAAGTTTCCTTTAGTGTCAGGGAGGTTTTCGAGGGTTTGATGAAAAGTTTTCACGCGTTTCAGAAGAGTTTTTGTGAAATAAAGTGCGTGAGCTTGGAGTCAGCGGCTCGAGCCCTCATTCAACCCGGATGACTGGAAAAGTTCTCTTGAGTTTCAGGCAAGTTTTTATGAGTGTTTAACAGTCAAAAAATCAACCAGTGCAGGAACGATTCACAGACCAACCGGCTGTGGTGGGTATGTGCGCCTGCGGACCGCTCCAAGCAACAGCCTGGTGGACCAAGCGCTCACAAGTCAAGCCTGGCTTCGGGCCGAGCTTGGGGAGTAGAACTCCCAGAAGCCCATCAAACAGTTATCCCAGAGCAGCAAGATTACACAATATCACAGAAATTCAATGAACCAATCCTTTAGCTGTTCAACCGTGTTCGCCCAGCCGTAATTCAAGACCTGGTTGTAAACTATCTGACAGCTCGTGTTCCAGGGATATAATGGGGAGCTATCAGAGAAGGAGCGAGTGTTGGGGAAGGGGGTGGAGGTAGGGCGGGGAAGGAGGGAGGAAATTATCAAAAGAAAGCGCCAAGCCATTAAGACTATATAGCACTTGGAAGGGGTCAGGATAAGGATTTGGACGGGGGAGGAATAGTGCCCAACCACTTCGACGGGGGAAGGGAAAGGGTGGAAGAGAGGAATTCAGGGAACGGATGTTCAACAACCGGTTCTCAGGAAGGAGAGGGGAAGTACTAGCTTCGTACACCACACTGCTTCATGTTGACCAGACCACACACTAGAAAGTGAAGGGACGACGACGTTTCGGTCCGTCCTGGACCATTCTCAAGTCGATTGAGAATGGTCCAGGACGGACCGAAACGTCGTCGTGCCTTCACCTTCTAGTGTGTGTGGTCTGGTCAACATTCTTCAGCCACGTTATTGTTACTCATCGCTTCATGCTTTTGGGGAAGGAAGGAAAAGTCATTAGTTTTCCCTTTGGCTGCCTCCGGGGTGTTCCAAGGGCTGGAACATACCGATATAGCAAATATATTAAGTGATATCATGCAAAAGGTGGGATGATATCACAATCCCCCCCCCCACAGACTCTCACCTAATCGTCACATTCTTTACGAACTCAAAACAATCCGTTAAAAAAAAAAAAAACTGTGAGGGATTATCCACAAAACTAAATCACCAAACAAAGTGATCGGATCACCAGGACTCAAAGTAACACAACAAAAAAGTAACTCACATTGAACAAGAAGGTGAAGTTATACGCGGGCGGGTTAGCGCGGGCGGCGCAAGTTAGGGTGGCAGAGTCCCCCGCCCGCAACCCGCCCACGCCGCCCACGCCACCCACGCCGACGATCTTGCTGGCCACCCGTCCTTGGCTGCCACCCCCCTCGATGCTGATGCTGGCCTCGGGGACATCTGTGGCAGACGGAGATGAGACAAGATGATGCTAAAACTTTTTTTTCAGAATATTTTAACATAATCATAAAGTCAAATAATAATTGTTCTTTCAAAAATGACAGTAATCTTATATCATTCTATAGTAATCTATAGTAATCATTCTATAATCTATAGTAATCATTCTATAATCTATAGTAATCATTCTATAATCTATAGTAATCATTCTATAATCTATAGTAATCATTCTATAATCTATAGTAATCTATAGTAATCATTCTATAATCTATAGTAATCTATAGTAATCATTCTATAATCTACAGTAATCATTCTATAATCTATAGTAATCTATAGTAATCATTCTATAATCTATAGTAATCATTCTATAATCTATAGTAATCATTCTATAATCTATAGTAATCTATAGTAATCATTCTATAATCTATAGTAATCTATAGTAATCATTCTATAATCTATAGTAATCTATAGTAATCATTCTATAATCTATAGTAATCATTCTATAATCTATAGTAATCATTCTATAGACAGTAATCTATATCATTGAAGAATGACAGTAATTATAGCTATATCATTCAAGAATGACAGTAACTATAGCTATATCATTCAAGGATGACAGTAACTATATCTATATCATTCAAGAATGATAGTAACTATAGCTATATCATTCAAGAATGACAGTAACTGTAGCTATATCAATTAAGAATGACAGTAATTATAGCTATATCATTCAACGATGACAGTAACTATAGCTATATCATTCAAGAATGACAGTAACTATAGCTATATCATTCAACGATGACAGTAACTATATCTATATCATTCAAGAATGACAGTAACTATAGCTATATCATTCAAGGATGACAGTAACTATAGCTATATCATTCAAGAATGACGGTAACAATAGCTATATCAATCAATAATGATGGTAACTATAGCTATATCAATCAAGAATGACTAACTATAGCTAAATCATTCAATAATGACGGTAACTATAGCTATATCAATCAATAATGACGGTAACTATAGCTATATCAATCAATAATGACGGTAACTATAGCTATATCAATCAATAATGACGGTAACTATAGCTATATCAATCAATAATGACGGTAACTATAGCTATATCAATCAATAATGACGGTAACTATAGCTATATCAATCAATAATGACGGTAACTATAGCTATATCAATCAATAATGACGGTAACTATAGCTATATCAATCAATAATGACGGTAACTATAGCTATATCATCAATAATGACGGTAACTATAGCTATATCAATCAATAATGACAGTAACTATAGCTATATCAATCAATAATGACAGTAACTATAGCTATAATGAACAAAATATGGTCTGTTATGCTCAAAAATATTTCTTGTGATAATAATTTTGTTATCGTTATTATACTTTTGTAATTTTTATCATTTTAATATTATCCAAATATATATTTTTTAATCATAAATAATCTTTAATCTGGAATGTCTCATTATCTGGAATGTCGCGTATTCTTGCTCAATAAGTCTCTATTTCTCTCTCTCTCTCTCTCTCTCTCTCTCTCTCTCTCTCTCTCTCTCTCTCTCTCTCTCTCTCTCTCTCTCTCTCTCTCTCTCTCTCTCTCTCTCAATCATTTAATAGTATTTCTCTGTTGTTCTTTTTACTCGTTTAGTAGCTTTTCTCTGTCTCGAGATTTATTTTCACAGATTGCTTTTATTTTGTCGTCTCTCATTTCCCCTTTGCCTCTCTCTCTCTCTCTCTTTCTTGCGTTCATCCATACTCTTTTTTTCAGCTTCACCCTTCATTCACTCCATGTCTCCTTTGTTTTGTCTTACCTTTCTGTTTTCCTTCTCTCTCTCTCTCTCTCTCTCTCTCTCTCTCTCTCTCTCTCTCTCTCTCTCTCTCTCTCTCTCTCTCTCTCTCTCTCTCTCTCTCTCTCTCTCTCTGCCAGTCTTCCTATCACCATCTTCCTCCTTCCCACTACCTTTTCTTCCCCTCCCTGACATTCTCCCTTCCTTCAGCACTAGAGAGACTACTGGGGTTGAGGGGGCACAATGCCTGTGAATGCCACTATTGACTGTCTGCTTAACCTACTTAGACGCCAGCACTTTAATTAACGCCCAGGCATATATATATATATATATATATATATATATATATATATATATATATATATATATATATATATATATATATATATATATATATATATATATATATATACAGTATATATATAGTGTTCTCGTGTGTGTAGGTGAGTCGTAGCTATAAGCTAACTACCATGTTGTTCTTAATATAGATATTTGAGGTCTTAAGACCTAATTTGCGTTGATTTCCTGACGAGATTAGGGTGAGCAAGTGATGTAATTTTTCTCGTAAAGATTATTATTATTCTCTGGAGTGAAGGTGAAATCTCACATGAGATTATTTCTCAGCTCCAGGTACATATACAAATGCTCCTCACCAGCCTATTAAATGGTGAATCTGAATTTTCGTTTTTATGTTTGAGTGTTATTCAAGGATGTGGAGTAGGGGGTGAGAGAGGGGAAAGTGATAGGGAGAGAAGGGGAAGTGGGATGGAGGAGGGGGAGAGGGGAGGGGTTCAGCTATCTTGGAAAGTGGAGGTATTGGTAGAGGTAAAATTCCTTGAAGGGAGAGATTGGGGGGAGGTATTAGTGCATATTGAAAAGGGAGGAAAATGCAGAATGGGGAGAGAGTTGGGAGAGATGGGAGAGTTGTGAGACGGGAGATTTGTGTGATGGTTGAATAGTTGAATGAGCGGATGAGAAAGATTGTATTTCTGGCTCTACTGGGGGTAAAGATGGGGGCATTCTGCAGACAATCGAGAATATCGTCCATGAGAAAGAGAGCCACGGGAAAGAGATCCACGAGAAAGATGTCCATGAGAAAGAGATCCACGAGAAAGAGATCCACGAGAAAGAGGTCCATGAGAAAGAGATCCACGGGAAAGAGGTCCATGAGAAAGAGATCCACGGGAAAGAGGTCCACGAGAAAGAGATCCACGAGAAAGAGATCCACGAGAAAGATGTCCATGAGAAAGAGATCCACGGGAAAGAGATCCACGGGAAAGAGGTCCATGAGAAAGAGATCCCCGGGAAAGAGGTCCATGAGAAAGAGACCCACGGGAAAGACGTCCATGAACCATAGGAACAAAACCTCCAGAAAACCCCCGAGATTGGAAGAAAATGTTCTCAGTTTGACTATGCTGCACTTGGAATATCACACGTAGACAGGATGGGTGCTAGGATAGGAGAACGAAGTGAAGGAACAGAACTGATTAATTACAACGTTTTTTTTTTAAATATTGAGTTCAGGAGGAGGGGACTTAGGCGCTAAGGTACCAGGTCAATTTATCGACCCTCCATGAGCCGGGATTGTACTCTGATTGTAAACATCACTCACACATCAATCTCCGTAGCCGAGTTAATTATATGAATTCGCTAAACTCTTTGTGTATGCACTAGTAGATATATACAACGCAGTATATATACTCTGAGATATGCATATTCGTGTGTATGTATGTATACTGTGAAATGTTCATACTGGTGTATAATCTGTGAAAAAAGTATATCACGGGAAATACTCGTTGACTATATCGGTTTAATATACTGATAAATTCACACCTGGGTGCATATACACATAGGAGTATAAATTTATAGATACATTCCCTAAAAAATCTCCATCATAATTCCATGAAAATGTGGTTATATATATATATATATATATATATATATATATATATATATATATATATATATATATATATATATATATATATATATTATATATATATATATATATATGTGTGTGTGTGTGTGTGTGTGTGTGTGTGTGTGTGTGTGTGTGTGTGTGTGTGTGTGTGTGTGTGTGTGTGTGTGTGTGTGTGTGTGTGTGTGTAGAGCTGAACGTAAGAATATGTCGCTGAACGTAAGAATATAGCGCTGAACGTAAGTATATGTCGCTGAACGTAAGAATATGTCGCTGAACGTAAGTATATGTCGCTGAACGTAAGAATATGTCGCTGAACGTAAGTATATGTCGCTGAACGTAAGAATATGGGGGTCTGAAAATGCTCGCCTGAGATTCTTGACCATAAAGTACACGGCCCGTTACCTCGTCTTAAATGTAGTGTATATAATAGAGTTTTATAAGACAGGAAATATATGAAGGTTGGGTAGTTATTTCTGGTAGTTAAGTAAGTAAGTAATTCTCCAAAGAAGGCACCAAGCTTCTGTTAGTTAAGCGGTTTATACTGTGTGTGTGTGAAAGTTTGTCTCAGTTTATTTGTGTGTTTTACTCTGCGTAATGTGCGTGTGTGTTTTTTTGTGTCTACTTTTTAATGTGTGTGTTTTCTTGTCTACTTTTTAATGTGTGTGTTTTTTTGTGTCTACTTTTTAATGTGTGTGTTTTCTTGTCTACTTTTTAATGTGTGTGTTTTCTTGTCTACTTTTTAATGTGTGTGTTTTCTTGTCTACTTTTTAATGTGTGTGTTTTTTGTCTACTTTTTAATGTGTGTGTTTTCTTGTCTACTTTTTAATGTGTGTGTTTTTTTGTCTACTTTTTAATGTGTGTGTTTTTTCTATTTGGTGTTTTTTTTTGTCATTTTCTTTGAGTGGTTTTGTCTTTTTCTTTGAAAAAAAAAGTGTCTGAAAATTTGTTCTGTCTCGTGTGGCTATGTTTATTTTTTGTTTTGTTGTAAAGGTTTTTTGTGTTTTTACGGTTTTTATCTTCAGTTTTTGTAATATTATCTTTGTTTACCTGCAATTATCTTTAATTCCCTTCATCTCTGTTTGGTCCTATTGAGTATCTGTAGTGTTCTTCACTACATTTCTCTCTCCTTCGCTACACATTCTACTTTCGTTCGTTATATATATATATATATATATATATATATATATATATATATATATATATATATATATATATATATATATATATATATATATATATATATATATACGTCCACTCTGTTTTTGTCTGTCTGTCTGTCTGTCTGTCTGTCTGTCTGTCTGTCTGTCTGTCTGTCTGTCTGTCTGTCTGTCTGTCTGTCTGTCTGTCTGTCTGTCTGTCTGCCTGTCTCTCTCCCTGCCTCACTACTCACAGTGCACGGTGAGTCTGTAGGAGTCTGTGGCCAGCAGGTGTGGGAGTGTTGGGGCCGCTGCTCGACACTCCAGCAGACCGCCGTCGTCGCCAGCAGTAGCCAGCAGACGCAGCAGAGACACCGTTGAGTCCACCCCCAGGCTCTGCTGCAGGAGGGAGACCACAGACAAGTGTTAGAAGCCACGCTCATGTTGTCTGCTGCTGATGATGATGGAGAGAGAGAGAGAGAGAGAGAGAGAGAGAGAGAGAGAGAGAGAGAGAGAGAGAGAGAGAGAGAGAGAGAGAGAGAGAGAGAGAGAGAGAGAGAGAGAGAGATGCGTGCTAGGAACCACATTCAGGTCTGCAGAGCAGAGAAACGTGCAGAGAAGCTCATATCAAAATCTGCTGCTGTAAGTGGAAAACATTTGTATTAAAAGACGCAATAAGACCTAATATATATATATATATATATATATATATATATATATATATATATATATATATATATATATATATATATATATATATATATATATAAACAAAATACAACTCGTAAAAATTGATAAAAATTTCAAAAAGCTTAGATTTAGGAAAGACCTGGGTAAATACTAGTTTGGAAAGAGGAATGTTGATTTATGGAACAGATTACTGGGTACCATAATAGACCACTGTCTTGTTTCAAGCGTAGGTTAGACAAACATATGAATGAGTTTGGGTGGATGTAAATACGAGCTGCTTTGTATAGGTCCCTATAGGCTTTATGTCATTTGCGTAATGCTTATGTCCTTACGACCAGTTGCAAGAATGATTGGGAAAATATCAGGTAAAGGCGCTAAGCCAGTAAGATTGCAATGAATTACGAAGGAATTTGGACTCGTCTCAGAGGCTTCCCAGCTCTTCCCACGATCCGCCAGATATTCCCACGGTGTCCCAATTCTTCCCACGGTCTCTCAGCTCTCTCCACGTCTCTCAGCTTTCCTCACAATCTCTCATCTCTCCATATCTCCTCACTGCAACCAGTTAAGCGGCTAGCACAGATGCTGCTAAAATACACAGAAAGCTAAATCTGTAACAAAGTCTGAAATGGAGAGAAGAGAGGGAAGAGATCGGATCATGTTTATTGAATGAAAGATGAAGGGGGATTGAGGAGACTCCTGTTAAGAATAGATAGGAATTGTAGGGTATACTGGTGACAGGAATGATTGTTAAGGAGATGTAGAGGGCCTGGAAGGGGGAAAATGGTTAAAGGGATGGTGATGTATAGGAGAAAAGGACAGATGTTTTAGGGAGATGTTAACGAGAAAGAGATGTCAAAGGGGTAAGATGTTTGGGGGGATATGTTTAGAGGGAACATGTTTTGGAGGAGGCTCGAAGGTAGAGATGCTTGGGAGGGAGAGATGTTCAGGAGATATTTAAGGGGTAAAGATGCCACAGAAGGGAAGAAACGAAGACAGGAAGAGCGACAGGAAGACTGTGTGAAAGGCCACGGACGGTACTTGGAAGGGAAGGAACTAACCTGGGGAAAAGTAAGAAGGTTAGTGATGAAAATGACAGCACCTTAAGAGAGGAAGGAAAAGGCAATCATGAATAGAAATCGAGGTGAAGATGGATGGCACGTTATGGGATGCTGGAGAGGCAAGGTGCCAGGGACAGATGGGGAGGAGAGGCAAGGTGCCAGGGACAGATGGGGAGGAGGGGCAAGGTGCCAGGGACAGATGGGGAGGAGGGGCAAGGGGCCAGGGACAGATGGGGAGGAGGGGCAAGGTGCCAGGGACAGATGGGGAGGAGGGGCAAGGGGCCAGGGACAGATGGGGAGGAGGGACAAGGTGCCAGGGACAGATGGGGAGGAGGGGCAAGGGGCCAGGGACAGATGGGGAGGAAGGGCAAGGTGCCAGGGACAGATGGGGAGGAGGGGCAAGGGGCCAGGGACAGATGGGGAGGAAGGGCAAGGGGCCAGGGACAGATGGGGAGGAGGGGCAAGGGGCCAGGGACAGATGGGGAGGAGGGGCAAGGTGCCAGGGACAGATGGGGAGGAGGGGCAAGGTGCCAGGGACAGATGGGGAGGAGGGGCAAGGGGCCAGGGACAGATGGGGAGGAGGGGCAAGGTGCCAGGGACAGATGGGGAGGAGGGGCAAGGGGCCAGGGACAGGTGGGGAGGAAGGGCAAGGTGCCAGGGACAGATGGGGAGGAGGGGCAAGGGGCCAGGGACAGATGGGGAGGAAGGGCAAGGGGCCAGGGACAGATGGGGAGGAGGGGCAAGGTGCCAGGGACAGATGGGGAGGAGGGGCAAGGTGCCAGGGACAGATGGGGAGGAGGGGCAAGGGGCCAGGGACAGATGGGGAGGAGGGGCCAGGGACAGATGGGGAGGAGGGGCAAGGGGCCAGGGACAGATGGGGAGGAGGGGCAAGGGGCCAGGGACAGATGGGGAGGAGGGGCAAGGGGCCAGGGACAGATGGGGAGGAGGGGCAAGGGGCCAGGGACAGATGGGGAGGAGGGGCAAGGGGCCAGGGACAGATGGGGAGGAGGGGCAAGGGGCCAGGGACAGATGGGGAGGAGGGGCAAGGGGCCAGGGACAAATGGGGAGGAGATAAGGGAAGGAGAAAGCCGTACCCACACCACGTCAGGGACAGAGGTGAGAGCTTGCTGTAATGGGGAGCTATCAGAGAATGGAATATGTGGGGGAGAGAGAGAGAGAGAGAGAGAGAGAGAGAGAGAGAGAGAGAGAGAGAGAGAGAGAGAGAGAGAGAGAGAGAGAGAGAGAGAGAGAGAGAGAGAGAGAGAGAGAGAGAGAGAGAGAGAGAGAGAGAGAGAGAGAGAGAGAGAGAGAGAGAGAGAGAGAGAGAGAGAGAGAGAGAGAGAGAGAGAGAGAGAGAGAGAGAGAGAGAGAGAGAGAGAGAGAGTTAGAGAGAGAGATGAGGACCTTGGTGGGAGGGAGATATACAAAACTACAGAAGGTACCTCCCACTCCAAGGCCTCCTACACCCTCCCAATCAAAGAATACCTCCATCATCAAGGGCCTAAATAATACCAGAAACTCGAGCCTCGAACCCTAACGTTTCTAACGAACGAGAGCGTAAAGAACGCTACACACGGGCAAATGTGCATCGAGATGACCTTTGGATATACGCTGTGTTTAAACGTAGATTACGCACTGACGCCAACTACTTGCATCTACGCTGATGAAAAATCTCCACCATGTCAGAAAGACAATTACAAAATAGATTATTTACGAAAACACAAATTTCCCCTTCAAGTGTAACTTGTAAATTGACGAATCAGAGTGACAAAATCCCATCAGGAGAGTTTGGGATCTCACACGTTAAACGAATCTCCATAGTTCTATAAAAAAATTATATAATTATCACTTCTTTTAATTATCACTTCTGTTCATGCTCTAACGTCTCACCATCGGCCTTTGTTTAAATGTATAACCTCACTAAATTCTTTTGTTTACAATGTAGCAAATGAGTAATCTCAAGGTTCAAAACAAAACAAGATTATCGGCTTTTGTGCAAATGGGAAAATCTCATCTCATATTTAAACTATATTGAAGCGACTTTAAAATAACATATTTCTGTGTTTTTTTAATATATCTCTTGGTGGTCTCTTGTTGAGAATAAATCTCCTCTTTCCTCTTGAAAATATCTCCTGAAAGTCTCTTGTTCCTCTATTATTTCTTCGTCTATTGTTCCTTTATTATCACTTGTTCCTGAATTATCTTTCTTTAATTCCCTTATTATCTCTCTATCTATTGTTCCTCTATTCATCTCTCTATGAATGTCTAAGTCACCTTGGGCTTCAGGGGAATACATTCACAGTATTATATAACATTTCTGAATAAACAGATATTCAAGCTGTTCACAAGAGCTTTTACATATTATATATTAATATAGCATTATCCTGTGATATATATATGTGTGTTCTGGCCATTAGCTGCTGCAAATCTGGTTTTCTCTTTCTTCTCTGTTCTGAATGTTTGTTTACAAAAATAAGTTAACTTTATGCATGTTAATGTTTAAACGATACTTATTTATACTGATGTAGAAACAAATTTGTATTTCTTGTCGATTCAAATTAAAAGATTATCCGGTTACAGGGGGTGTGTGTATTATTCATTCACTCCATAAAAGCCTTAAGTAATGTATCAGTCTAGTTTACTTATGTACTGGGAGAACTGTGGATGTTATCTTAATTAAAATAATGATGTCTTGAGTTGTGTTATTGATTACAGCAAACTGTCTTCAGATAAGTCATATAATAATGAATTTATTAAGGCGTATAATGGGGTGAATAATTTGTATACACACATTAGGTAACTGAATATTACTTGTATCGACAAAAATTCAGGTTTGTTTTTGTATCAATAAAATTTTTGGCGCTTAAACATTATATATATATATATATATATATATATATATATATATATATATATATATATATATATATATATATATATATATATATATATATATATATATATATATATATATATATATATATATGAAAGAGTCCTTAAAGACCATGCCACAGGCAAAGATAATCAATATTTTTAGTTTTCTATATATGTAAATTTCTTCACTAACACTAAAAAAAATTATGTGGAAACGATTCTCAAAATCTGTCGCTTTGAGTTTACATTAATAAGGCTTATCGACCTCGAGAGGGTTATTTAAGCCAGCACAATACCTAACTGACCAACAAGCAAGTATAACTCCGTTCTAAACACAGTTTATAGTGAAAGAAAATGGCTTGTGGCCTAGGAATGATCATATATTGTACTTCCAATGTCTTGGGTGTTATTAAGAGACATCATATAATCTCTTTTATAACCTCCAAATGCATGATAATGGGACTTGGGAGGCAACAAGGTTGTGTTCAAGACTGGAGAGACACACACACTCACTCACTCCCCGAGGCCAGCAGCAGGTGAGTGTGAACCATATAAGAGACAGGACGACCTGAAGAGCGCCGGAGAGAGAGAGAGGGGGAAAAAAAATTCTTGAGACGTGAGATGTTTATATCTGTGGGCGGCTGGTGTCACGTTTTGTACGGCCTCATTGGTGGAGCTTCGTACGTGTAGTGAAAGGGATAATTAGAGTAAACTAGATGCCCAAGTCTCCCTGACACACCCTCCCTCTCCTCTCTCTCTCTCTCTCTCTCTCTGTCT